GAATCTGGAAAATCAGGTTTGAGAGAAATTTGCTTTGCTTCCAAATATTCCTTTCTGGTTGTGGATGATGGAAAAGTATCCAATGAAACAGTCTAGGGACTATTTTCATAGTATCATCACCACATAATGTTCTGAGTGGTAAGAAAGAAAAAAAAAAATCTATTTTCTGAGCTTTCAGGTTCTAGCCCAGGACAAAAAAAACCCAGGTACAGTTGTCATAATTGATATTGGAAAGTCCAGCAGACAGAATTCTGAATGACTAATTGTTCTTATAGCTACATACTGACTTTCTTGAGAGGAATCTAAATAAATAATAAAATATAGAAATCTCCAGTTAATACTGGTTTAGAAACCGAGTTTTCCGTTTTCTCTCATTCAGACTGGTTTTTAACTGAAAATTATTAATAGGAAAAATGAAAAGCATAATAGGATTATTATTTTTTTCCTGTAAGAATCTGGGTGCTCTGAGCTGTATAACTTACTATCACAGTCCCTTTGTGTAAAATAGAATTAGCTGAAAAAGACAAAGTGCAGCCAATGTTCCAAATCTGTAGATTATTTGCCACTAATTATCAATTTGGGAAGTTCCATTTTTGTCTTGGGTGAGTTCTGCTCTACCACACCCGGTATTTCCAAATCCTGCTGAATGATTTTAATGAACATCTCGATTAATTCCTGGGAGAGCGATGTGACTGTGAGGAATTAAAAGTTTCTGTGTTAATAGGCAATAATGTTGCTGTGATCTAAAATAACGAGAGTTTGTTACTGACTTCCATGGCAGTGGGATAAGCCCAATGTCCATATTTTCTGTAGGTAGGCTCCAGCTTTGCAAACAGACTCTCCTTTCCTGAACCCCACTACTGTCACGGTTAATTTCTTGTTAGAGAACCAGCATTTATTGGGACACAAGCTGTCCTGTTGTTCAAATAGATTGCTAAAAGTCTTTGCTGGTTTTAATTGTTTTGTTGAAGCATTTAAGGTCGAGATGTAGGTTGGTCCCTCAGGGCATGATCCAAAGTCAGCTGTATCCATAAGAAAAGGTCAAGTGAGTGAAACAGGTTTTGAATCAAAGGTTTCTACAGATTTTCCTGGAACAGATGGCCTCATTTAATGGGAAGAAGAAAGGGCACTGAGCCTAAAAGACAAGGCTGCTACCTCAGGGATGTGATCAAGTAAGCTGTGGTTGCCTTCCACATGGAAAAGGTAAAATGCAAGGTACAAAAGTTGGGTGCTGCAGTGTTTGTTGTTTTCTCTGGCATGGATGGTCAACTCTGACTTTGGAATTAGTTACCTAAATGACCTACGGATCTAATAAGGTATCTAACAAAAAATTGTCTGGCTTTGTGGGGTTTTTTCCCCCAGATAATTTCCCAAACTTCTGGATTTAAATTCAGGAGGAAACCACCAGCCCCATCAAACAAACAGAACTTCCAAAACAAATAGGACTTTTCCATCTTTCACTTTCCTAAACATAAATCAGGATGCAATATGATCTCCCTTTGATAAATACAAGTTCTGACTGATGATTTGCCTCTTTGAACAAGCTGCTTCATACTCCTGGTGCACTGCAGTCTAAGTTTTCAGATTTGCCAGTTAATGAATGGCACAATAGCAAATAAAATAACAAATGCCATCTTAGTGGTTCCATTTATTGGATTCTTTCATTAATTCTCTATCTGAAGAAAACCATCCCACTCCAAGATTCCTAATAAGGGAACCTGTGAGCATTTTACAGCTTAATGACAATGATTCCCAATCTGCCTCTCCCCAAGAAACAGTGAGCTTTGAATTGGCAGTGTATTTTTTTCTACTATTTCTTCTGCAGCAATTTCTTCTCCAACTCTTCTAACTAAGGTTAAGAGGTCTATTTCACACTACAAGTGGGAAAAGTTGTTTCTTTGTTAACTCTGGTGACAGGATTCAGCGTTTGTTGCTCTTACCCAGAGCCTTCCATCTGCTTCTGTTGAGGCCAATATCAACATTCTCTGGTGGTATCAGTTACATCACACACAGCGCTGCCGTGACTGAAAACCCAGAGGCACAAAAAGGGCTCATTCTTCTCTGGTGTGGTATAAATCCTACTGACTTCGGGAACTTCTCTGCACTTCTCAGGATTGCGCCTGCAGTTTAGGAAGAAAAAAAAAAATCTTTAAAAGATCATGTGAAACCCAGTTTACTGAAAGGCAATAGTTTATTTTCTAGCAAAGCAACATTCATTGATCTAGCTGGAATTAACAGTTTTAATTTTGTCATCACTTTTTAAAAAAAAACAAACCACTTTGACTTTCAGAAAAAAAATACAAATATAATATTTTGCTACCTTCCAAACATTAACTTTGATTTACTTTTGGAAGATAACGTGGTTGGTATGTTTTCTCAGGATAGCCTCTATCTATTTCTGTGTGTTGGTTTTAAATGTATCTGAATTAAAAGGGGTTTTAATCTCTGTCTCTTCTGTGAAATTAGATTGTACAAAACTAAATATGACTGCTCTTCATAGTTTGCTGTTCTAGCATAGCCATAAAATGTATCAATGTATGTGTATATATGAATAAATATTTGATGACAGACACTTTAGATTATATATTTAAGCAGCCATGTCAAAACTTCAGAGGTAGATGGCTTCAAAAGCAATGGTATAGTCATAATACTCGCAAATTATTTTACAAAATCAAACCATGCCCTCAGCACAGATCTTATATCCTTACCAGTAGTCTGAAACCCACCTTTTCTTTAAAGACCCTTGCTAAGGTTTCTTTTGCCATTGCTTCTTTAACCAGGACGTATTTGAATAATGACAACTGCCCGTGGCTCAGTCTTCAGCACTCATCTCCCAGCAGAGCCACCCTGGAGCTGAGTGCCAGGGGCTCTGAGCTCCTGTGGCTCTGGAGCCACTCCTGGGACATGAACATTGCACAGCCAGTGTCCATGCTTCCCCCTGGGACTGCCTCACTCCCCAAAATTAGTTTTCTCCACCTAATACATCTCCCATACACGTCCCACTGCATTTCCTTTTTGCCTGTTTGTAACGGTACTGTGGGAATATCCATGGGATAAAAAGCTTACCCTACTGATTTGCAGTCCCAAGGGGAATTTACATTAGACGTGAAGTTGTTATTATTTACTGAAAAGTGGTGTTCTCTTCTTTTCATTATTATTATGATTCTATTCCTATGATACTATGATGTTTCATGTAAATTTTCATGTGCTGGCATGCCTACAAGTTAATAGTGTAATAGAATGCTCAGCTCTCAGCATTAGAGTGTTTTTAAGGTGAATTGCATCACATATGCCATCTCTTTGCAGAAAGAATATGGGGTTTGGCAAAACTACCTGCTGAGCAACATAATGAGATTTTTGTACAAAGTACAAGTTATTGATTATTATTGTATTTTATTTTTCTATGATTTCCTAAGAGGCATTATCAGGTCTTACAGATGGGGTAAGCCTGTTTATTAAGATATTTATTAGCAAATAAAAGTTACAGTACTGGTGGTTATTTTTGAGTTAATGGTGTTTGTTTGCCCTTAAGTTACTAATATGATCCACAGTGAAGCCATACATGATCATGCAAAAAAATCCCAGCTGCTTAACACAGGGTGGTGTACTAATAAAGATGGACTGGCAATACGCTCCAGCACTTGAGATGCTTCAGGGTGGTGTTGTTTTCTTCAGCTAAAAAATGCTCTTCTGTGCTTACCACTGAGCACTTATGCTCAAAAAACACACACAGCTCACAGCATCAGGGAAAAAAAAAACCAAAAACTGTGCACATTAAAAGCTGCAAAGAGCCGTGCTCTCTCCTTCTCGGGAAACACTGTGAATCTGAATTTTAAATGGCTTTTAATGAGCCATTAAGATTCTTCAGTATCGTTCGCCCTCCTCATGGTGATTCACTGAGCCATGCAGCTCCTCTAGTATTTGTCAAAGCTTTCACTGACAAAAGCAGTTTTAAAACCGATCATATTATGTAAATAATGCCAGGGCAATGCACGACGATTCACAGAGAAGTGAATGCCACATACAATAACCAGACCCTACCTCAAAAAGCTTAGAGTTATAATGAGCCTTCCATTGCATAAAATCACACGCATGCAATGCAAGACTGAACAGAAGTAGCTGTAAAGTAATAGGAAATGAGTGTCAGATGCCCACAGTCCATTCCATCCTCTTTATTTCACATGGGAAGAGCTTTCTCACCAAGGACTGTCAGGTTTAACACAGTCTACATAATGAAGAATGAGTATTTTCATTTTAGATCTGGTTACAGAAATGCCTTTGCCGTTCCGTGTTCTCCACTGAATTCGGACTGATTTCAAACACAAACACCCTTCTCTACCACATAAACCTCACAATTGGATTGCAGTCGGGGAAGTGCTTCATCACAGAGTTTCACTGAGGGATTAACGCTACCTGCCTGTTCCTTCAGCGGCTCAGAATGCCACTACAGGGGAAATCTCATCTTTTATTCGGAACCTTCCTGATACAGGAAATACAGCAGACATGGAACCAATCTGACGGGACTATGCTACGCAGCAAAAAAAAATTTAAAAATTAAAATAAAAAAAAAATCCGAAGTGTAATTCCACCCTCTGTGCCTGGCCAGGCTGCCTTCCTCCCAAAGCCCTGCTGCTGCCACTGCCCCAGGGAAGCATTTGAGCTTTTCCAGACTCTGCCAAAGCGCCCGCTTCGGAACGGGCAGTGCTGTCCACACCTCGGCTGGCCGTTCTTACTCAGGGCTTTCCTTCTGTGTTCATCGCAGTCCTCAGGAGGATTTATCCAGGCACTCTTGAGAGAGGCAGCGCTTGCAAACCAGCAATTCCCGAGGCGCTGGACACGGACAAGGAACGGGACACCCCCGACCCTGCCCCGGCCCCCTCAGCCGCACAGCGCCGGGGGCGTGGCCTAAGGCGGGCCCCGCCCCAACGCCGTCCCTCCATTGGCCGGAAGAGGCGGAGCGGGTGGGGCGGAGGGACGCGATTGGTGGGGCGGGGAGAGGGCGGGGCTTCGGTTTCCTCGGCAACGGCGGCGGCGGCGCGCGGGCCCGGCCGGCGCCTCCCGGGCCCAGGTCGGTGCTGCGGCCGCGGGGACGCGCCCGGGGAGGGGGGACCCGGGGCCGGCCTGCCCTGGGGAGCCTGTGCCGGCCTTCCTGCGGGATCCTGTGCCCCTCTGGGAGAGGAGACCCTGGCCTGGCCTGGGAGAAGGGACACGGGGCCGCTGCCGGGCGGCTTGAGGCCTTGTGTTGCTGACGGGAGGGAGGGCAGGCCGGCCTGGGAGCTGCGATTCCCCGCAGCCAGGCGTTGTCCCGAATGAGGCCCTTGCACCCAGTGTGCCACAGGCCGAGCCACGCTCAGAGCCGAGGTGTTCGATTTGTTTCTGGTTCTGCCCAGAAAGAACGGCAAATCCGCCGTGCCAGCACGGCCGCTGCCAAAGCTTTTCACTATTTATCTATTTATGCATTTTAGCAAACAAAGGCATTCATGTTCACTGACTGCTAGGCACCTAGTTCTCTTATCAATTAACATCCTGTTGGCTAATGATTATTTTCTAATTAGCTTCCCATGCTAATTAGTCCACATGCCCAGTCTTTCCCTACTTGTGGATCTTAGACCATTGGAATATATCCAGCCCTAAACCTGAACAAGGCAGTTCTACCGAAAATATAATATAATTTTTATATATATAAAATATATGGGCAAAATATCAGCTGGCAAAAAGGGGGTAAAAAGGCACCTGTGTTAGCTGTAACTGCTGTAACTCTTCACAAATGAGAAAAAACATGAAAATAGGAGCAGGGCAAGAAGTCAAGGGTACATTTCTTCCCCACTGTGTTCTTAAGTAATGACTGTGCAACACCTGGACATCACTTAGAGCTTGTTTGTTGGCTGCTCTCTATTTCACGGATTAAATCTCCTTTGTTGTTGATTAGGCTTGAAAATAGATCAGACATGAAAGAACATCCTTTCTTAAGAAAAAAGCTTAGAGAGTTTGCTCTTAAGCTCCTGGACCAGACTCTGCCTTAAATAATTTTCTGAGATGTCTGATGTATGCTGTATAGCACTGTAATATATATAATATATATAATATATATTATATATATTATATATATCTATTATAATATAATTTTTATATATATAAAATATATGGGCAAAATATCAGCTGGCAAAAAAAGAGGGGGTAAAAAGACACCTGTGTTAGCTGTAACTGCTGTAACTCTTCACAAATGAGAAAAAACATGAAAATAGGAGCAGGGCAAGAAGTCAAGGGTACATTTCTTCCCCACTGTGTTCTTAAGTAATGACTGTGCCAGCTGGTAGGAAATTTTCTAGAAAGACATGTCTCTAATTAAAATGTTGCTAGAAACTGTTGTGTATTTAGGGTTTTGGATTTAAAAGTGAAGCTGTAGAAATATTTTTAAGGCCTTATATTTCCTCCTGTTTCCTTTTAGGAGTGCCTACAATGTATTTTTTTTGACCCTCTATTTTTTTGATCATCTAGAATAGATAGATGAAGCTCTTGATTGGATAAGAAAGTAATGTATCTTGGAGCAGGGTTTTGTCAGGTTAATTTGATAATGAACAGATTTAATCTGCTCTCTGATTTGTATATATGGATTAGAAAAGGAGTGGGGCATAAAACAAAGGGAGTTAGAATGAGAGACTTGCTGTAGTTAATGTTGGGGTTTTTTAACCTGGTAATAATTCTGTGTAGCTATAATGTCGATCACGACCAGTCCTGAATCAAAGTGCACCAGAGAAAGCTCTAAGAAAAATCTGTATTTAAAAAGGAAAAATCATCCTTTAGCCAGAATGATTACTTGTGTGACTTCATTAAATGCAAAGTTTTGAAATTATTAAAAAGCATTTAACCATCATTTTGTAATCAGTTAGTGAAAAAATGTGGTCAAAAAATTGTTATTGATGGGGTTTTTTTACCTTTTTCCCCCTCCTGCTGTGATTTCCTCAGCTTGCAACCTGAGTTATCCAGTGCTGTGTGCTTTTAATTTATTAAGGAAAAAAGAAAAAACAGCTTTCACCAGTCCAGAAATCCTCTGACATTAATTAAATACTTTATTATTCAAGGCATCTCAAAGGTTTCAGTGTCTGATTGCTGAAATTATTTCTAGTGGAATTCATTCAGGGCAGACAAGGGTTATCCTCTTTGCAGAGTGCATTTAGCCAGGTAATGCAGGGCAACATGTGATGTAAGCTCCTTTGAATGTGCCCCTGCCAGGTATCTTCAGCCAGAGTCTGGGCAGCAGCAGAGGTTTGGCATCTCCCTGACATGTGGGTGAATGTTTTGGTGTCTGTTAGATCTATTTTAATCAGTTTCTATTTGTGGTGAACAAAGAGTTCCTAATTTGTACGTGTCAGTATTGGCAAAATATCGGCAAATTAGAGTTTGGATTGAATCAACAGAGAGTGCTTTATTTAATGCAGGGCTCAGTAAATTATGTAGCAGGTGCTGAAGAAGGGAAATACTGTTTTGTTTTCAGAATGGTGTACTGCTGACAATTTGGGGTCAAGATAATGACCCTCCTTTTGATTTTGCTCAGTTTGGTGGGAGCCCTGGTGGTGCTGCACTGTGCCCCTGCTCGGACTGCTCCGAACTGCTTCAGCGTTTTGTCCCAGTGAATCAAGGGCGCTGTGTGATACAGACAGGGCTATAAACAGCCAGTCTACTTTGGTATCGAGGCCTCCTGGCTGTAATCAGCTTACCCTCCGTGTGCTCATGGGCAGAGGCAGCCCCTGGGACAGTGTTTGTGTAGGGTCTGCTCACACCATCGCGCCCTCCCAGGTGCGAGGCTGCTCGGCCCCATGCCCGCCCTCGGTGCCAGCGCTGCCCTGCATGTAGCACTTTTCCAACAGCTCTGATTCCCTGAACAGCAGGTGATCCCTGTGACTCCCAGCCACAGCCATGGGGTTGTTTGACAAGCTGGCAGGATGGCTTGGGCTGAAGAAAAAGGAGGTTCACGTCTTGTGCCTTGGCTTGGACAACAGCGGCAAAACGACGATCATCAATAAACTTAAACCTTCAAATGTAAGTAGCCTGCGTGGTTCACTGCTGGGTGTTTGTTTGAGATGGGTTTGCATGCTGTTACAAAGGATGTGCCCATGGAAAAGATGTGCAGAGCTTGTGATTTAGCACAGTGGAACAAATATAGTTTAAGATTTTCCAACTAACTAAAACTAAGGGTAAGCATTCACATGCACATTATTTTCCAAAAAAACCCACTGTTAGCGTGGCACACTTTTGTTAAGATCACCCAACAAGGAAGGGTTTATATGGCTGAAATCAGGATCTGAAACAGTCACTTAAATCACTTAAATAATTGTCACAGGATTGCAGTTACAAGTGAAGTTGAACATTTAGGATTAATACAATTGTACAATAAGTTATCATGTTTATTTTAATCTCTTCCTGAAAAATAGTAAATGCATAAGAGATAACAAAATAAGAACTAAAAAGAAGATACACGTTTAAGGGTGACTTCACAATTTTTAAAGCGGGATAATTTTCAAAATAAGTACCATTAATACTTGCAGTTCATTCATCCAGTGAAAAGTATTTGAGGCCACTAGGAGTGCCTAATCTGAAAGTAGGATCCTTGTTTATAGATATGTTTATGGACTAGAAACAGATTAATTTTGATAGGCATACTCAGGGCCAAACGTGCCGCATCTTGGTTATTTGCATCTGGGAAACTGACTTTTGCTGTTTATATCAGGACACTGCTTTTTTTTATTATTTATTATGAATGTTCATTAAATTTTACCTGATGAGTCCACTGGACATTGTTTAAAAAGTGTGACATAGTGGCATTTCCATTCCTGGCAATTATTCTTCCACTGAAAACTGAGTAGATTTATGAACAAAGACTATAAACTCCTTGCTATCTGCTGCCAGTTGTTTGGGAGAAAGGCTACAATGTGTACCAGGCAAATTGTACTTTATGTAATTACTGAGACCTTTTTTGTAGAGGGTTTTTATGTCATGCCTTAAGCAGTAAAGGATTCCTAACTACAGTTGAACTCAAACTTGAAGATTTATCACAATAATGGGCGTTAGAGAAGCTCTCAGTGGAATTACATGAGTAGAATAAATTCAGTGTTTGTAATGAGAATATATAGGAGGATAACTTTGCATCCAACTTGCATAAGTCTACCCTTGCAAGATATGCCAAATAGTCTAGCATGCAACAAATGTCACTAGATCAAAGTTAATAAAACTGTTTATTTTTGGTAAGTTCAATGGACAGGTGATTTTGAGCTCTGGGTCAACTCAGTCTTCTTAAGAACTGCTGCTTTGCCCAGGAGGCAAATATTAGGGCCTGGCAAATCCAAACGTGTTTCCGTCTGCAGTTGGTTCTGCTGGACCTGCCTATGGATGGTGTTTGGAATAAGGGGCTCTAGGAGTCTGTGCAAGGATTGCAAGTCACTTTCTCAGACAGCTCTGTGACCTTTCTTCCTGCTCAGTATCGATGCTTCATAGTGGAGCTATTCTTTTCCACCAACTTAGCTGAGAGGTTCCTTGACCAGCTCAGTAGTAAATCAGTTATCAGACAGATCTCTTAATAATGCTCTGTGTTTTGGCAATTCCAGTAGTGTTTACTCTCTTCCCCAGAAAATACAAACCCCTTGATTCTGAATTACTTTACTTTTCTGGGAACTTTTTTAATATTTCACAGTTTGGGGCAATAATAGATCTGTAATGTATTAATGTTTTAAATATATTTCAGTATTTGCATTTTCTAATTTGATTGTAAAACCTGTGCTTTCTTTCTTTCAAAGGCTCAAACTCAGGACATTGTTCCAACAATAGGATTCAGTATAGAGAAATTCAAAACTTCAAGGTAGTACTTTCTTTCTTCATTAGCAGTAATGATTATTACACCATAGTTGGACTTAATTATCTCTTTCAGTGGGTTTGTAACTGAGTATCATGTGTGGTGGTGTAATGACATGACATTGCATTTTGTTGAAATGTAGTACCCACAAGACCTAATCATGATCCAGGACTGAGTGTGTTAGAATAGAATGTGTGTTTTGTACTGCTATAAAAGTATTAAAATTTTTTTTTTTTTTTTTTGTTTTTTTTTTTTTTTTTTTTGTTTTTTTTTTTTTTTTTTTTTTTTTTTTGGTTATTTTGTATCAATGTCTGATGTCTGTCTGTTAAGAGTTTCAGTATAGGGCACTGTTACAGACTGGAGGAAAGACAGCTGCTGAGGTGGCAGCCTAAATTCCACTCTCAATCTGGTAGCCTAAATTAAGCACTCTCACTGAAGGTACTCTGAACAGATTGCAGTGTAATCTCATTAAATGCAAAAGGATGGCTACAGCATTAGCAATGTAAAGGTGGCAGGAGCAGAGGCCAGGAAACAGAGTAATAAGTCATTAGTTGAATGAAGACTAAGATTTAGATTAAGAATGTCGTGACACGAGGATATTTCAAGGAGGCAGCATCATTTTGTTATTTTGTGGCCTTCACTGGATGTTTTAGTGTGTGCAGTTAGTCTTCAAACCAAGCAGTATGGCCTCACTGGGTGGGAGATCTGCAAGAAAATTGTTTATTCCTTGAGCTGATATGCAAGACTGAGAGGTTTCATATTTCTCTAAGAGCTTCCACAACTGAGCTCTGTCCCAATAAAGAACATCAGACAAGTTTGGGACTTCCCATGTGAGAATGAAATATTGCTTTTTTTTTATTCTGATCCTGTGGTAGGAGAGATGATGACCTGTAAAGATGGCATGTAGAATGTTTTAAAAAAACCAAAACAACCCCTAAAAAGCCCACCCCAAAACCTCAACCCCTACAAACTGACAAGCCCAGAACGCTGTGTCTGGACATAGAGTGGGAAGGATGTCTGGAGAGCTTCCTTTTCCTAACCTCCTTGTTTTGGTGGCCTCTGCTTGGGGAGCTACTTGGGGCTACCCAAAAAAGGAGAGCCTAGTTCTGAACTCGGTGTTGCCTCTGTAAACATTTCAGGAGCAGATGAGGACTTTTTGTAGTGTTCAGTAAGTTGCCTTGCTGTATGTAGTGTGTGAGTGAAATCTCACAGTGACAAAGACTGCTCTTTGTAGCTTGGTCATCTGAACTCACCTGTTTTTACCAAAATGTACTGATTTTTTTTCCCCTAAAGGCAGAATTTATTTATTTCTTTTAAAAGCCTTTTATTTTGCCCACATTTATACCTGTCTAGGGACAGAATTTAAGACAGGCCATGGATTTTAAGTCATGGTTCATCTGTATTTAGTTTATTCATAAAAACAGTATTTGATACCAGCGTGATAGAGAGAGAGACTGAATGGGAGCTTGTTTTCCATTTGATGTAACTTTAAATAATTGGTTTAGTTCTTTTATTCAGATAATAAACACATTTCCCATTGTGAAATATTTCTATAATAAGGCTGCGAAACTGAGTAGGGTCATTTGAAGGCAGATGGTGCAACCAGAGTTCATTTGGGAATTTTTCCTCAGTTGATTTGGATTCAAAGTGAGCTGGCTGGTTTTTTTGGGGGGGTTTTTTGACAGGGTAGCAAAGAAAATGGATGTGGTTTGGGTTTTGTTCTTTTTTCCTTGGCCTCATGCACTTCTTTTCTTTGCAGTTTGTCTTTCACAGTGTTTGATATGTCAGGCCAGGGGAAATACAGAGACCTCTGGGAACACTACTACAAGTAAGCCTATAATTTATTTTAAAGCATTGCTGTTCATATTGACTGTTGTGTAGGTTATTTAAACTGAGGTATGATAATATCTAGTGGTTAGAAATGATTCAGAGAAGGCTCAGACCTGCTGTTTGACAGAAGGTTTATTCTGGATAAATAAAACTTTCTGTTCTAACAAATTAAAATTTTTATCTGGTATTACTTTGTACTTTTGGGGACAACTTTAGGGAACGTAGTAGAGATGAGATTTAAATGTTGAAACCTGGAAACCAATCCTGTAAGAAAGCTCAAGATGAGGTAGGTTTCCAGCTTTTCAGTTCTTCTGTAGGTCAGCTACTTAAAATCTGCAAGATATTGGCTGATGGCTGAGATTTTTAGAGGTGAGAGAAATGAACCTCAGAGGATAAGGCACGTGTAACTAAGAACCTGAATGACTATTCTTAATGTCATATATTAAATGGATAGTCTCTGTATTTTGTAACACTCTGGTATTGCCTTCTGGCAATAGGAGGACACCATTCTCTGGTTTTGGAGCTTTTAGTGAGTCTTTATTATTTATATTATTTATTATATCTATTTAGTTAATCTTTATTTGCATTGTCTCATTGCTATTGTGTAATGCCTGATCCTGGTCTAGATAACATGAACAATACTAAACCATGCAGAAGTAGCTTGGAGAAATAGAAGGGAGAAATTCTGAATATTATAATATTGATTAAATATTAATGTCAGTTGTGGTAGAGCTTAAATTGTTTTTTAATTGAGGATTAATGCTTCCTCTCCTTCCTGTGCAAATTGTGTTAGAATTGAAAACACTTGGCCAGGAGATCTCATTGTTCAAGAGTGTTAGATTTGCATTTCACTAACTGATGCCCTCAGGCTGCTCTCAAAATTCTAGCAGAGTGCTTCATAAGCAAATAATTTTTGTGATTGCTGTATTTAATGCAGTAGCTTATCCCTTGTGGGGCATAAATGGCTTGTTCATCTTAACAATAACTCCCTAACAGTAAGGGAGTGTTTTAGGTTATGCTGACAGTGAAATATGCACTTGTATCCTCCTCTGGTTCTGAACAAGTGCAATAGGCATGTATTTAAGATTATAAAAACAATAAAATATAAAAACAATATTTTCTATCAATTAAATAAAAATATTAATAAAACAATTATGTGTTGTTCAGTTCATAAAGTTAAGCAATGTTTAATTTTGCAGGAAATTAAATCTGGGCAAGTGTCAAAGTAGTTGCCTTGGAGTCCATCAAGTCTGGACTTTATTTCTATTTAGGTTTAGAGAAAGTATCTTCTAGTTCATTCTCTAAGTACGTTTATCTTAAATAATCCCAAAGTCATGTTGTATCCCAATGGCTGATACTTCTTCATGAAGTATCAGCCATTGGGATACTTACTTACTTGTATTTTTTTGGTGGTAAATACATGCCAGTACTCTTGATTCCGCTTGGTAAAATACTCTGTGCTCATGAAAATTGCTGAGGCGTTTCCAGCTAATATGCAAAAGCTTTATTTACTAAAGGTTCTGTACACCAGAAGAGAATGGGCCTTCTCATACAATCTTGGGCTGCTCAGGTTATTTTTGGTTTCCAGCAGGTGTGGAATGTTTCTTATCAAAATACAAAGATAGATGGTGCTGGAGGGTAAAGAATGTATTCATAATGGTGTCTCAGAGAAAAGTGAAACGAAGGAGAAGTGAATATTACATTAAAATATAAAGTATTTCACCTACTTTCTGTGGGTGTTTACAACAGGTGAATTATAAATTGGTGAGACTTTCTTTGGTTTTCAGAACAAGTTCAATAAATGGAACATCAAGTCAAAATATCAGTAACACCCTGAAATAATGAGTTGAGTAGCTGCATTTATATTGTGACTGGTCACACTATCAGCAAAATGTCCTAATGATTTGAAGTAGTTGAAAGTTTTTACCTGTTATTTGAAAAAAAAAAAAAAAAAAATCCTGTTTATGCAGGTTATGTAAAGGTTAAAATAACCTGCATATGTCTAGCTGTGGACACAGGTTTTGTTTAAAAAGGTATTTGACCTTTCTCTAAATAAACTTTAGTACTGGAAATACAGAATTTCTGTAAAGATCTGTCTTAATGGGGTTTTTCCCTGCCTGACCACAATGGCAAAATAACAGTGGGTTACATTTTGAGTTAATTTTTTTAGTCTGAGTAGTAAAATCAGTGGCTTTTCTAGAAGGTGTGTGGAGACTGAACCTTGTAGGGGCAGGCAACAACCTCATGTCTAAAAAGATTATGCATGTTAACAAAATACTGTATTTCAGAAATAAGACTGGATTCAAATGTTAATGGTAAATAACAATGATAAAAATTAGAGGAAAAATCAGGTTTGTTTGGACTTTTTCCTTGGTGTTTCTTCTGAAGCCTTTTCTTATTCACAGAATACTCATTTCTTTGAGAACCTATAATTTGCCTCTTTGCTCTTTTCATGTTATGCAGAGAAGGCCAAGCCATTATTTTTGTCATTGATAGCAGTGACAAATTACGAATGGTTGTGGCCAAAGAAGAGCTTGACACCCTTCTGAATCATCCAGGTGAGGAGGCTTTTTTCCCATTCTGTGTCCGTATTTGTTATGTTGCCTTAAGAAAAGCCCTTATCTGACACATTCTTAATACTTTGCAAGTATTTTAACCTTTCATGAATATTAGCACAGTAATAGTCTTCCAAAACGTGTGGGGTTTTTTTTTTACCTGTTCACATTTGGAAATTGGTCACACTCCAGCTGTCTACACTGAGTTGGGATGGTCTCTTATTAATCAATATAGATCAAAAGTTACATGGTTTTGAGAAAGATTAGACTTTGAGTTGGAAGCTGGACAGGCTTCTTGTGATGACCAGCACAGACAAAACTGTATCTCCCTGTCTGTTTTTTCCATGAACTCAGCTAATTCCTTTAATGTAACATTTAACTTTCTTTTGTCATCTTCTTGTAATGTTTTATGCTTTAGACAGAAATACAAAGGGATAATTACACCAGTCAGTTTTAACTCCCTATGGAAGAGGATATGAGAGGATTTGTGATCAGGGTCTTCTTTTAAGGGGTTTGGTCTGGGTTTTTTTTTACATGAGACTGCACCTTAATCAACTTCTGATATCAGTCAATTCTTTGCCTTTCTGTATATCCAACATTACTGGGATGTGTCTGTAAGCAACATGCAATTTTGACTTCCAGCACTTTTGGTAATTGCTCTGCCTAACCAGAATATAAAAGTACATCTAGAAAATTTAAAAGCTAAATAATCCTGTGATTCCTTAATTATTTATTAATGTGATAGATCCTTAACTTGTGGGATTCCCATGCTGAAAATAAGAAAGGAAAAGCTGACTTGTATTTTTAAGAAAAGCAGCGTGTGATAGGGACAAATACATTCCCATGACTTTATTTTCCATGAAGACTGTGTATAACACTTTAATTCATCAACAAAGATGCTGGAGCTGACTGGACCTTCTTATTCTCATGCTCTAATTTCTCATTCAAAGGTATGGGCTACTTCAAATGCACACACTGAAAAGACTTTTGTGTCACAAAAGTCACAGGGAGGATGAGGTGAGCCAAAGGCTGTAGGTGGATTACACAGAGGCCAGGGCGCTGTGTACCAAGTCAGGAATTAACTGCAGCAGTAAAACCCAATTCTGCTAGTAAAGTGAGCCACACAGGGCCGAGGGTGAGAGGTGAAGCTGCTGGAAGAAGTTACTGGTTTAACAGAGGGCACAAGAATGAAAATGTTTAGACAGAGTAGAAGCAACCTTAGGTGGGGCTTTTCATTTAGGCATTAATAGGTCACTAATGCTGACCTGGCAGGTCAGTGCTGTTCAGTTTTTCATGAATTTGTGTCTTCAAGTTCAAAAGACCAGGCTCTGGCCACTGAGTGCAGTCCTGAGAGCCAGGAGACAGCAGTTGTGGATTTCTGCCTTGGAGTGGCTTTGCTCCAACACAGCAACAGTGTCACTGATTTATCAGTTTTGATATATTACATCTAAGAGAACCAAAGGGCTTAAAAAGTTCTTCCAGGATAATTTTCAATAAAAGTAGCTGTTAGGTGAATCAATATACAACTGGATTGCTATATCAGTAGTTTTATTTGTGTTAGTGTTCTGCCTTTCTTGCTGCATAGCCTACTTTCTCCCAAAATATGCTTCCATTGGTGTCATCCTCCTGAAGTGGTTTAAATGTATGTATTTACCTAAGTTTTAAATGGAGTTGAATCAACTCCTGTCTCTGAAAATCGTAGCAATCCCAGAGTAAAACAGTTCCCTGTCTTTTTGCCAGGCTTTGCCTGAGGGAAAGGGAAGGGAATGTGTCCTGTGAAGCATTAATGGGGTTAGAAGTTGCAGTACCTGGGACTCTTTTGTGAATCAGAGCTATAAATTATTTTTACTTACATTAATGGACAATGCACTCCTCAAATAACAGCTTGTTAATGATAACTGTATCATATTTTGGTTTTTTACTCAAATTTCATTCTTCAGCACTTTGAAAGATGATAGCCATAGATTACCTGGATTAGATGATGACTCTTGGGTCACTTCACCTCCAGCACATGCTTCTAAACTAAACTGAAATTCTTCTAAACTTGATTTTTTTTTGTGTGAAATGGCACATCACATATCTAGTGTCTGGAATATTTTTTAATGTGTTAATTCATAACTGCTTGCAGCTAGAAAATGTTTGCTTTCCATTAGTAACTGTGAAAATTGTGGCAGGGAAACACTGCACATGAGGAAATAATATAAATTTCTGTGACCATGACTTTATTTAGCAAATATCTTTGGGTGTGCATTATGACTCTGGGTAGGTAGGTTGTGCCCCTTTCTAATTATTTAGGAAAACACTGGAAACTCCTTGATTAACTTGGCTGTTTGCATATATGATGTCAGCTAATTTATGTGCTTTAATTTACCCATAACCTGCAACCTGTGGCTACCAGAGTTCATTTAATTATACTGTAAATTACTGTAAAAATTTCAGTCAGGAGACTCAATAGCTGTTCAGCTATGGAATCAAAACAGAGATTTAATTATATTGTGCTTGTATTTTGAGGCCTTTGACTCGTGTTTATGGATATCAGAGGACAAAAGAGCTCCAGGAAGGGTAAATAGTTTGTGAAAATTGTCAGTGTTTTGATCAGCACTTACCATCTCTGAATGAATATGGGGAAGTAGTGTTATCTCCATTGATTCTGTGGAAAGGCTTAGTAGGAAGGTGGAAAAGAACATAATTAGGAAAGTTCAAACCATTTCAGCACTGACAGTTTGTTGGGATTTTGTGGGGTTTTATCATCCTCCTGCCCATCAGCAGGGGCAGATGGCTTATGTTTGACATTTTAAAATAAATCTTTACCTAGTTTCCTGTGTGATTTTAAAAAGAGTCTGTGTAGCAATTTTCATTGAGGTGGTAGTGTGTAAGTTCTTTTCCTATCAAGCACTGATGGATAGACTATAACCTAGATTTTCTCTAATCCTGGATATCATTCTTTGTATAAATAATATGAAAAACTTTGACAGTTAGTCTTGGTGCTGGTAATTTTTTTGGCAGTGTTACATCTGTAACTTTGAAGAGAGTATGTTTTCTTTCCTTTCAATCACCATATAGTCTTTTGGGGTAATCTGTGAGGTTTCAACTTGTCTTTGTGTAAGTATCCCAGAAATTGCCAAAGTACTTTGTTTGGTCTCACTGCTAGCTGAAAGAGCTTCTGGAGAAGAAGTCCTTCTAGGGAAGGGAGAATAAAGGATGTCCACATGTGCATTTTTTTCCAATTGTATAAAATGTATGAAGTAATGGATGCTTTCCAGGACACTAAAGGATTCAGACTACCCTTCTCAGCTATTGTTGTGACGTTATGAATGAATACACAAATTATTTTTTCCATCCATTTTATACATCCAGTCCTCACTAAGCAGAGATGTGCAGTGTTTGTAGGCAGTGGTTTGATCTCTTGTTCCTCAGTTTCACCAGCAATTCCTATCTGCAGCTTGAAGTGTGGGTAGAAGGCAGGGGGAGAGGGGGTGGAAGATTCCAAAGCCTGCAAGGAAGTTTGTGAGCATTTTGGAAGCATGCAGCAGAGGCCAGGTGACCCAACAGTGTGTACATAGAATACATGTAGGATACAACCTTCAGAGAATTGCAGCTACAGGTGAGCAAAATACCTTCCTGTGTTGTTTGTACTTTGTTACATGCAGAGATTAATGGGTGCTGCCTCATGTCCTGATGGTTCTGTCTCTGCTCATGCCTAGACATTAAGCACCGCCGGCTGCCTATTCTCTTCTTTGCTAACAAGATGGACCTCAGGGATGCAGTGTCATCTGTGAAAGTGTCTCAGTTGCTGTCCTTAGAAAACATCAAAGACAAGCCCTGGCACATCTGGTAAAGTTCTCTTTTTCTATCCTTTTATTGGCATTACTTTGTGCATTCCTGTTTTAGCCCTGTTGTGCCACTCACTACTGTATAAAATATATGGAGTAGATAAAAGACAGATTCCATACATAAAACACTAAATTTAAAACAGTAATATTAAAATACTTACGGTGAAACTTACTTTAAATGTACAATGCATTCATTTAGACTGTGTCTGTAAAGTTTTCACAGCAGAACTGTTAGCCAAGTAATGGAATGGAGGATTTCTAGTGGAATCAGGAAGCAGGGTTGATATGAGAAGAACAGTTGGCATTATATTTTGCTAGGAAATTGAGTAGAATTGTTATCAGAGTGCTCCTTCTAGATTACTAGGTGCAGGTTGGAGAATATCAATCATGAAACCTTTGGAGTTTTTTTCCACTCTGCAGATGCTTCAGTAAACTGTTGTTGAAAGGCCATTTAGTAAACTGCTCTCTTCTGTATTCAGAGACACTGTACTCTTTGTATCCAGTCATGTTTGAGGGGATTTTTAGTTGTAGGAGCTTGTCTTTTGTTCCTGAAGGATGTAAGCTTTACTTAGTGCTGATGTTCACAAGGAAAAAAACTCTCCTTTTATTAGAAGTGCTTTATAGAAGTTAGTATTTTGTCCTATTGAAGTCCTCAGCTGTTATAAATAAAAGTGAAATCAGCAGCTAAATGCTGCTGAAAGCTACAATTTTCATTTTAGGTCCTTTCATGTTAAACTTGATTACCTGGACATTGTTGTCCAAAAATCACACACATGAATTCCCAAGCTTCTTGGAAGATTGTTTTATGGGAACTGCAGTTACAGTCCAGATCCAGTGCTGTGCTGGTTTTCATAAATTGAGGAATGAAGAGCATTTAAATAGTTATCCCCCAGTGATTCAGAAGGTGGATTTACACTGCTCTCAGTGTAGCAGAATAGTTTTATACATTAACAGGCACTCCTGGGGTCGCTGTTGCAATGAAGTGTGTACACACACATAATTCCTCCTGCCAGTACTCCAGCATTCTCACTGAGTGTAGGAACTGCATAGAGGACATTTGGGCTTGATCATCTTAAAGGTCTTATCCAGCCTAAATGATTCCATGATTCATGGCTGCTGTTGGAGGGAGTAAACATCTTTTACAGCATTGTCTGAGGAGGAAGGTGCTGCAAAACAATGTGTCTGCCTTGTGTGGGAGCTCTCCCAGAGCCCCTCATGTTCTAGGAATGATTCCTTGTTCCTTGGAATTAAAAGAGATCACATCATGAAATGGTGTTTCCCTGTGGGGAAGGTACCCTATATTATTTGAGGAGCAGTTTTCTCCATAGGAAGAAAACTTAAGGAAACTACCTGATGCTACTTTGCAATTATGTAAATTACAAGTTTGGTGATGACTCAACTAAAACTGGTATTTTTACAATGTTTTTGAAATTTGATTTGTTTCTTTCAGTGCCAGTGATGCTCTTAAAGGAGAAGGATTACAAGAAGGTGTGGATTGGCTCCAAGGTATATCATATGTAATTCTCTTGCTGTATTTTCATTCTGTTAAACTCTTTCATTTTGTAAGTTTTTTTCTTTATTATTTCCTTTGTTTTCTTTCTGTCCATTTCTGCTGCCAGATCAAATTACACAGTGAGTACTAAAGCTCTGTCTCATATTTGCCTTTCATTTACCTCCTTAATGTACACAAAACATCGTGTGGGCTTCCCTGACCAAAGTGTGTATTATGAAATACTAATGCACACTCTTGCAAACAGTGTAGCACTTTCATTTAAACAATACCAACTCCCACACTTCAATTTCTTATTGTGGTAGTTCAGTTTCTTCTTTAATTTATTCTTAATGTCCTGTCCCTGTTTTACATAACTTAATGTTACGTATCAAGAAATGGTGAAAGAAAATAAGCCAAGTATCCAGACAAATACACTGGTTTTAATTATACACCTTCAGCTCTTTAATCCAGAGCCAAAAGAAGAACTTCTTACACCATAACGATTATAGGACATGCAGACACTCATAAATGCATGGAAAATATCAGATCCAGCTTGGATGATGTCTGACACCCAGCATCTTTAATTACAAACTCGATACAGATGTTGTGTAATTACAAACTTGGTACAGATGTTGTGTCTCCTTCTGTTGTGTGCTAGTAAGGCTCTGCTCTCTCTTTTCCTCCTGCTCAACGTTTAGACTAGTGAAGTGTGGCATAGTTTTGGCAGGCTGGTCCCAGTTTTAGCTCCCTGGCTGGCGTTGCTTGGGGTGCAGCAGCCGCCTGTGCTGTGCCCGCCGGCCGCCGGGTGTCAGCGCTGGCCCGGGGACAGAGCCTCCTTCCAGCAGGGCAGCAGCCAGCCCTGGCCCGGGTCACCCATCCCCGCTGCTCTGGGGACACCGGGCTGTCCTTCCTGCTTAGACTCGTCCTGCTGACTGGAAAAAGATGGTTTGTTTTACCGAGGCGTTGTAGAGAACAAAAACATTCTGTGATGTTTTCAGAGGGAGGGCTGCTCGCCAAAAATAGTCTTTAGAAAGAGATTTACTGCCCTACAGAGGAGCAGTGATGTATCCTCCACTAGCTAAAATAATTCTGGGGTGGGGAGCCAGGATTTTGGTATTGGATTTCCTCCTCTCCTGTATCCTATCATCATAGAGGCAGATTCCAAATCATAATTTTTCCTAATTGCAGGCATAGTTCTGGCTTAGTAATATTTTCTTGCTATGTCTCCACTTCTCTTGGAAGAACCTTTAAAGTTTCAATCCAAATTTTGGGTTTGTACATAGCTTCATGCTACTTAAAAGTATCTCAAATGCTTGTGTAAATATTTTCTGACAAAATATTTAAGTTATATATGTAGATTTTTTTTAAGCACAGCAAGCAGATGCTTCTGCTGTCACTCACATAGCTCTTACAGCTATTCACTTATGGAGTGTTAACTTCCTAATTTTCTGAGCTGAAAATCCTTACAAAGGGGCTCTATCTGAAAATTTCCTTTAAGTCCCTGGTTCGGTGAGCCCAAAAGCTGAAGAGGGGTTGATTTTAAATGGTACTGCTACCTAAGCACATGTAGTTTGGCAATTATATCAATACTTTGATATTTCAAGGACAACTTTTTACTCTGATTCTCCTTATTCCTAGAGCACCAGATGGAAATATTTGGAACAACTCTGTAGTCATGGTAGTCCCTAAATCACAGCCTGGGGATGCCATAAAATTCAGAGGAGGAAATGACACCTGGTGAATGAGTGCACAGTTCTTGTCAGCAGCCAGGCTTTCCTTAGTTACCCATTCCAGACCCATTTCACAGTTGGGGTGGCAGGGGCAGAAAGTTTTGTGGGTTTTTTTGCCTTGTGAATGCTGAGTTTGCTATTTCTCTATTTTGTAATGGGGTTGCTTTTGCAACAGCACATCCTCCATAGGGTAAAACAAACCTGTCTCACAGCATTCCCCCTTAGTAGGGGAGATTGTGCTGATTTCCACATTTTGTGATGGGATGCTGGGTGCAAGAAAACATTTGAAGTGAGTTGAGAAGTGGCAAACAAGCAGCAATATGGAGAAGTGTGGCTACTGAGAGCAAAGTTTTCATGTGAGTTATTAGAAACCAAACTTTAAATCTTTTGCTGTTGACCAGTTCATGTTCAGTTAGGTGGAAGCCAAAATGTGTACAAGAAATTGAAATGCATGCTTCATAAAACAAAATTCCAGGTCTTATGGTCATCAAAATGATCTTATAAGCCTGAAGAAGATAAAAATTGTACTAGGTGGGAAGAGATTCCCTGTTAAATTTGCAAGATTTGGGGGAAACAACTTGGCTGTACAGGAATTTCAAAAGTGGATGAGAAAGCAAGTTGAAAACAAACTCTGCATTGTCCCCCATTGTTGTAACTCCACCAAAATATCTAGATCCACTTTATGTTTTCAAAAAGCAAAATGCAGCAAGAATTCATCTTGTGCTAAGACTAGATATTTCTTTTTATTAACAGGTCAGATGCAAGCAATGAAGACATGAGAGATAAATAAAGGATCTATGGGGTTCTTTTACACCCTTTGTCAGTAGGTGAAGAACAAGTTCCTTGGAAAGGAAGAATGATTTGAAGAAGATGAACAGTTCAGCTAAAATATCCTGTATTGACTTGTTTCAGTTTAGTATCTCTTCCAGGAAAACTGAATGTAGACAACCTAGCACCTCAGGTATGCACATTGATGAATTAAATTGAATCTTGTGACTGGAGAGCCTCTAAAAAATATTTGTGTTAACAATAAACATCTGCATTCATTTGAGGTTTGGGTGATAATTAGCCATCAGTAAATGCCCCTCTGTTTTTTGGGGGGACACCTTACATTTTGAGCAAATGGAAATATTTATTTTCCAGAGAAAGAATAATCAGCACTTTGTGAAATCCATCTACAGAAGATACCTACTGATTTTAGATGCCCAGTTTTAGGCATTACTGCCATTTTTTTATATTAAAGTTTGATGTTGGGTTTTTATTATCCATCTCTAATATACTTCTATAAAAGTATTTTGATTAAAGATATAAGGATTCAAATGTTCATTGTATTTGTTATAGATGATTGCAGATGTTTTTAAGAAATTGCTTTTAATGAAATGTTACTAATTGTTTTTGTGATTATGTCATGGTTATATTTGCATTCCCATCAATAAAACTTCAAATATATGACATGCCCTGATTGGGTTTTTTAACTTCAGTATGCTCATTAATGGTCTTTATATCCTAGAGATTTTTGGGGGTTTATTTTTATTTGTTTCATTTGGAATGTGTTTATCCATATTCAAGTGCATATAGCACTGTATATGTAATAAAATGGTATCTCTGTTGCCAAGGGGTTTTTTTTATTAATTGCATATATTTTTTACACTACCTAATCCACTAGACCTCTCTTCCAGATACTTAAGGAGCATATGAATCACAGGATGGGTCAGACTGGAAGGGACCACAGTGGGGTCCCTGGGCCAAGCTCCCTGCTCAGGCAGGACCATCCCAGAGCACATGGCACAGGATTGCATCCAGGTGGTTCTGGAATGTTCTCAGTGAGGGGGACTCCATAGCCTCTCTGGACAATCTGTTCCAGTGCATGGTCACTGTACAGGAAAGTTCTTTTCATGTCCAGGTGGAACTTTCTGTGCATCAGTTTCTTGCAAGTTGTTTGAAAACACAGTTAAAGGACAGCTCACTGGTTTACTAGTCATTATTATGAAATATGTTATATACTTCTGTCGTGTATAAAGACCGTTTTACTTTCAAAAATCAATTTAATCAACTTTCTGGCTCCAAAGATGTACCGTAGGTAACAAATTAAGAACTTTATTTTTGTTCTGCCACTTCAGGAAAGAGCAGACTGACCCTGGCAGTGCTGAAGACTCCATTTAACTCAGTGATTACCTGATCCCTGTGGGACATGTAATATGCAGCTCTTGCAAAAGCTTCCCTCCACACCCATTAGCATATAAGACACACAGATGTTCTGTCAGCATGCCTTCTAGGCCTCACCTCATAGAGAGGAGTATTTGGAGCAAAGGGAGCTGAAATGGGAGAACAGTGTCATGTACTCTCAGTTATTAAATAGTTACATTTAACTCCCCTGCTTTGCCAGAATAAAATCTCACTGTAAGAAAACTTTCTTACAGGATGCTGTGGTTCTTACAGTTCAGTTTGTCATGGAGGTATTTTCCTGTCTCTTTCTGTGACACTGTTGGCCTTTTGTCAACTCTGAATCTAAGTATCAAAAATCAAATACAAAGGAGGAACAGTAATATATCATTCTGAGGAGTTTTCCTCTGAATTGTGGGCAGACAATTTTCAGGTTTACTTTTTTTTGGATAATACAGTAATTAAAATAATGGGTTGAAAGGGACCTTAAAGATCATTGAGTTCCAGCCCCTGCCTTGCTTGGACAATGGATGCCTTCCACCAGACCAGGTTGCTCAGAGCTTCATCCAGCCTGGCCTTGAACAATTCCAGGGGTGGGAACACTGCAAATTCCTTGGGCAATCACTGCCAGTGCCTCTCCATGCTCTCAGTAAAGAATTTCTTCTTAATATCTAATATAAAACTATTTTCTTGAAAGTAATACTTGTAAAACTGTTCTGCAGTATGTATTTTGTAATTATTGTGGATAACTTATATGTCTTATTTAAATGAAACATTTAGTTTTAACTTAACAGTTTCTTTTCTACCAAAGAAAATTTAAGTTTTTACATAGAATCTATCTGCATTTCTGACTTCCTTGAATGGTATGGATCTTGATGGTTTTCTGATAATTTTTGTTTGTTTATTTTAAATTACATAAAGTGCTATATTTATCCTGTGGATTGCCTTTACTGTCATGGGAAGCTGTTTGAACCTACTGCTTTGTTCTTCCATCCACAAATCCAAGGGAAATACTCTAATATATATTTTTTTTTCTCTCTAATATGGTTAGTTAGTGCTTTTTGAAAACAGCAGTTAGTTTTGTACTTTTATTATTGTTCCCCTTCTTGATTTTTTGGTGTTTGATTTTGTTCTGCAACATCTCTTTCTGTTCCTCTCCTGTGGGGCCACTGCTCTGAATGGAGACCTGTTGGAAGGAATAGAAATAGGAACAGTTCTATTAGTGAAATCCTGGATTTTTATTCCCCCCCCCTATTACTGCTTCAACCAGTAGTTATATCTTACTTTTAGAACATTTGTGATCATTCCATGAACATAAAACCTCCTGAGGGCATCTCTGCATGTTCACCTCTCCTTCCCACCTTGGTATACAGGTACAAGTCACTAACATTCACAGGTACTGGAGCCCTGAATTGCTCTAAAAATGTTGAATTTGGTACAGGGATCATATATTGCACAAAATCCTCGTGCATCCATGCAAAAAGGCTGCTTTGGAGTTGGTTTTTGTGGCTGTCAGACTTCCATGCCATTCTCCCATTACATTTAGGGTGTTAAAGTAATGAATGAGTTCTATCTGGGTGCTCCAACACAGTTTGTGTTGACAAGTTCTTTGTGCCTGAGGAGCCAAGCAGACCAGGGAATATTCCTTTTTTTGATCCATGTTACTGTAGGTGTGTGCACTAAGTGGTAACTTGAAGGGCAGCGGAGTGACCAAAAGAGATGCAGGGAATTTGGTCTTTATACCCCACTCAGTGTTTTGTGCTGTTGCTTCTATGCACGCTGCCCACCTACATATTTATTAATTTCCTTTAAATATGTCTGGTCAGGCTTAAGACTAGCATTTTCAGCTGAAATATGGTGCAGTTGTTTTCACATACAAAGTGTTGCCTTCTAGATCTCTTTACTGAGGAGGGAGCTATCAGGTAAATGTGTAAATCCTCATTTTCCTAGCTGTGCCTCTCTAGTACTGAGAGCACCAGTCCATGGGAACCTTGTGTTTAACCAGTGCTTGCAGCTGTGCTGAGAGCCTGCGTGGCCTCAACACTCCTGGGCAATTTCACATGAAGCAAGTGCAGTTCTAAGTGTGAGGATGTAAATGTGATGGAGCCTCCTTTTAATCTCAGCCCTCTAACTGTAATTTCCTTGGGGAGTTTTATTTACTAATATGAAAGATAAGCTGCTGTAAAAGACCAGACATAAGAGCTCAGCTTAGTTGTCTGCAGACAGGCATTCTGATGTGGTAATATGTGGAATGGTAACGTTGCACTTCAGAGCTTCTGTAAAACAGCTGTGCAACTGTTTTGGAAAGCAGCTTATCTCTTAGGAGCTTTAAGTAGGAATTATCATTTTGTTGGTAACAAGAAGTAAAAGTAATGCTGATTCAAAATGCTTGTTCTTAAAAGCAAACATATATTAAGCCAAGAAATGGTGTTTAATCTCAAAAGGGGTGGGGCTGGGGGGAGTTAATTTTGTTTGTTTAAGTTTTACTTGTTTTTAAAGTTTTACTTGGTTGGAAAATCACTCTTTTTATGATTGATTCCTCTCATCCATTTATTTTGTTCTTTCTGGCCTGCCTCATTCCTGTTTTACAGAAATCCTTACAAATCTTGATCCTCAATTTTTTGGTCTGTTTCTTTTAAATTTAACTGAGTATTCTGCTAGTGAAACTTTGCAGCTCCCTTCCCTGTTGTTTTGGTTTTGGGTGGGTTTTTTAGAGTAACAAAATAGAGAAGGTCACAGAAGACAGCACTAAAAAAGCAAAAAAGGGTACTACCAAGAAAGTCTCCAACTCTCCTCTTTCAGAAGGGTCAGGAAAGTTTGCTTTCAAAGGTTAATTTTATATGCCCTGATCCTTTTTTTATTTTTTTTTCACTGCTTAAATTTAAAAATGCGTTGTTGCTATGCAAAATTAATATTGTATGTAATAGCTAATCAGAATGCAGAGCTTTAAATGCTCTCTTGTAACAAATGCCAAGTGTTTTTGGTAATATTTTGTAACCATCCTTTAGTTCAAGGCTCTGTAGCTCCTGTCACAGTAAGTTACATCAGGGAAGCATCTGTGTTTGTGTGAACCAGCACTTTGTAATTAATTTGCCACTGTTCAGCCAGTCGGATTTACCACTTAATTGGTTGAATTTTCCTGGCCATATGAAATTCTTGCTCTCACAAGTACAGCATGTACGTGATAATGTACTGTTCTCCTTCAGTGCATGTCAGCATCTCACCATGCAAATCGGCCTGTTTGCTTTTCCCACTCTTCTAATGACAGCATGAAACCCCCTCCCACTACTGTTTTTCAAAATAAATCCATGAAATGAAAGCTAGGCTCCTAATGTCTGTCTACCATTAAATGATCTTGTGTTCTCCAAACTGTTTCCCAGGAGATGAACTTAATTGTATTACAATCATATTACTCAGGCACCAGCTCGAAAGGGGGTGTTTGTAATTTCTCTGGGATTCAGGGAGCACCTTTGAAGAACAGAGTAACTTGTGTAGTAAAGGAAGTGTAAATTTAGCAACTTCATGCTAGGCAGTCTTTTGGCAAACAATGTTGTCTTTGAAGATCAGTAAGTGGATTGAAGGCCTAGCAAAATAGTTACTGTACCAAATTTAGTTTGCTGAAGAGTTGCCTAATAGTTCTCAATAAAGTGAAGAAAAGACAGTAAGGAAAGATATAAAAAATCAAGGAAATTGGGATGTGTGGAGGAAATTTCTTTGGGCTGGAGTCATGCTGGTGAATATTAAAGAAACTTAAGCCTCATGAGGCTCAGTGAGGTAACAGTGATAAATGATTGAAGTGGATGCTTGGCAATACAGACTAATGAGAGCAGCCCCATAAAACTGCTTTAACAGAGCAAAGAGAGCTGGTGCTGAGAGCCTGATGTCCTCATCTGTGTGGCCTCAGTTTCCCTCAGCCTGAGCCTTTCCAAGGGCTTCTCAGTCCTTGGAGCACGCTGTGCACTCTTGGCTCTGAGGTGTAGTTCCATCCGAAAAGAAATCAGGTTGTGACCTCCCAGCCAACTCTGCCATGTAAACAGAAGCACTGTTAGTGAGGATTATCTTTAAAATACCCTCCTGACCTGAATTAATACACAAGTGGAGGCATGCCTGTACAAACCTAAGAGGGAAACAATCCCAAAGTTTTCAAGCCATGGGGTTGGAACCACGTGAAAGAACAGCAGAACTTGGCAAGAGGCCTCCACACAAGCCAAGGTTCTCCAGGAATAATGCCAGTGAAATATTTAGGAAAAATACAAGTTTGTTGTATGCTTCACTTGGAACTGGGAAAGCTTATTCCACAAATACAGGATATAACTATTGGACAGGGATTAAGGGGTAACACTTCCAACTTGAAGGAAATGGCATAATGTCGCTTGCAAAAAAACAGGCAGTCATGAGTAAATAATAATAAATATTAAAAGCTTTATGTCAGTAATAAAA